CGCCTCGCCCCGGCCCTCTCCGCCCCGGGCCCGCCAGGCCTCGCTCCCCACCCCTGAAGGCCGTTCTCCCCGCCGTCCCCTCCCCACTCACAGGGTCCTGGGCTGCCCGTCGTCTTCCATAATGGTGGGCGAGCGCCGCTCTCAGCTGCACCCGCGGGCAGCGCCGGAGAGGGGCTCCGCCGCGCAGGGAGGCGAAGGGAAGGTGAGGGTGAGGGCCCCGGCTCCCCCCGCTCCGTCTCGCCCCCTCGCCAGGTCCCGACACCGCAGCCCGAACAGGAGAGGGAGGAAGCACCACAAAATGGCCGCCGCCACCAGACACTCAGGAAGCCGCGTTCTGCGCAGCCGCGCCCCGCCGGCCCAGCTCCCTCTTCGGGCCGGATTCTCCTTCCCGGTCCCCGCCGGCGCCGCCGCGGAGCTCGCCGGGGATGGTAGGCGCTGACGGGGTAGAGGGCGGCGGGACGGCGAGCGGGGCCCGTCGGCCTTCTGGGGGCTGTAGTCTTTCAGGCCTCTCACCGCGCCGCGGGCTCGGGGGCGAAGGGGCCGAGGAAGAACTACCTCTCCCGGCATGCCGAGCGGCAGAGGGTCGGCGGGCGGGACGGGCGGCGCGGCGGTCCGCCTCCCTTCCTCCCCGCCGCGGGGGGCCGGGCCGAGCGGCGCCCATTGGCCGCCAGCAGCCCGGGAAGATTCGCTTGTCGGAGCCGGCGACGAGCGTGGCGGTGCCGGCCCCAGCCCCGGTACCAACCCCAGGCCCCAGCCCTCGGCCTCAGCCCCAGGCCTCGACCGCAGGCTCGGGTCCAGGCTCAGCCCCAGGCCTCGACCCCAGGCCCGGCTCCAGGCCCCAGCCACAGGCCTCGACCCCAAGCCTGGCTCCAGGCCCAGGCCCCAGCCCCAGGTCCCGGCCCCAGGTCTCGGCCCCCTCCGTCTCAGGGTGCCGCCATGGGTCACTGCCCTGGAAGTGGCTGGGGAAAGCCCCTGTTCAACCACAGGCCCCCGAGGGTTTCTGTGTGGGGAGAGTGACACCGATGCAGAAGTATGGTGGTGGTGTGTGCTTGAATGATGAATAAAGCCATCTGATAACACCTCAGGGGGCTCATCCTGTAAATATTTATTGGATTGCCATCTGCTTGCCTGAGGGGAGTGTGATTTATACTGTGATATGTCACTGTGTGTCGCATTCACAAGCAAAGATCGTAATATTACATACTGCCCACATACAGTACCAATAGTACAGCCTGCCTGTCTTCAGATACTGCAGTTGTAAAGATGATGATTGTTATGAGACATATAATGTTTAAGGGGCTCACCAAGAACAGAAATAATAGGGAAAGAGTTCTGCCTGTCTTGCTTCGTTCCATATACACCATAATGAGGTGTTTTATGGGAATCCTACTGTAGGTCAGTGCTATTTGGGACTATGAGACCAAGGTGTATCCTAGGTATAGAAGAAAGTGCCATTAATTAGCACTTAAAACCCCAAGCACAGTTGTTATCACAAAGCAGAACTTGGTGCCAGTGACTGGGACTTAGGACAAACAACATCGGGGTAGTGACAACGTCTCAGAGCAGTTTCAAAGGAAGAAGCCTTGTGCATTACTGTTCCTCTTCAGCAACTTCAGCAGAGGCATCGAGCAATGGTGTCTGGAAACCCTTCTCCTGGAAGTGCTCTCTTTTTTTACATCCACCATAAAAATCCTCACTAACATCATTAAACTGTTCTCACTACAAAAAAATAGAAGATTTTAGAATTTAATAGAAGATTTTTTAGGTAGTTTTTCTTTTTCTTTAGCTAGCAAGAAGTGAAGCCAGGAATTGTCCATAAGGAATCAGATCAGAATAGCTCTGCATAGACAGAGTATGAGTATCCCCATGTGCAGAATAATCACGGCACTCTTATTCTGGAAGAAATTCAATTTGTATGCATATTGAACATTCAAGTACTCTTAAATATTCTCCCTCTTCCAAAATAGTAACATCCTGGAGAAAACTGCCTATGTACTTATCAAACTAGATATTTTCATGCCTGCTGCTCACACAATAATGTTTTCCCGTCTTTAACTTAAACATGCAAGACTGCTGCCAGGCATATATTTCTGGAAGAAGCCACTCTAGCTCATTGATGCAGATATAGGTGGCTTAAGTAACTTCTTAAAATGTATTAAAAACGCAGAAGGTTGACTACAGAAGGAATGACTGGAATAGTCTAATCATGGGTTTTGAATAGCTAAAGAATCTGCATGTCCAGGAGGGATCAAACACCTTTTTTGCAAGACACTGCTGCTGGCCACAGTGGCGGAAGGAGGCACGGACAACAGGGAGAGAGGTGCTGGGTACTGGTGGCGGGGGCAAACACCAGCTGCATGTCACTTTGAAGTGGCCTGTGCAGTGCCCTGCATGTCCCCGAGTCTGAGACCTGATATAAAACACATATTTCTGTAGCATGGACAAAACCGACTCCTGATGCAAACCATCTGTGCAGCGCTCAGGGGTGCCTGCGCCGGGAGCTGCAGATTAACCAGCAGCACAGCGGGAGTTTGCGCTGCTCTGCGGGTCCTGTAAAATTCCCAGCTGGATCCGTGTGATCCCTGCCTGGCAGACTGACCTCTTGGGCAGCGTGTGCGGGTTAGCGATGCCTCCTGGTAAAGCCTGGGGGTGAAAAAAGTGCATGAAACTGGAGTACGTATCTATACAAATATTTAATTCCATATACTGGTCCGAGAAGAGACACTTGATTTACAGCAGCAATGTAAAACAGTCTTCTCTTTCAGGGACATGTACTTTTTTTACAAAAGTTATGTTACCAAAATATTTTAAATATTCTGCCATGTGCAAAATGACCAGCTAACTCCAAAAAACAATCAAAACAGCACTCAATGTTACTCCCTTCTTCCCCGAAGAAACTGTTGCACCGGAGCTTTAATAAAGTTTCACACCATCCTCATTTCATGCCCTGTAAACCTTGTTTTTCTCTGCTTTTTTTCTTTTTCCCCAGTATTGCCTGAGAAACTTTTTTAAAAGTAGCAAGTGAGAAAGGTCATGTCAGAAGACATGCATGTCTGGATATATATATATATATTTATATTTATATATATATATACACCTCCAGATCAATAAGTGAAATTATTTATGTTTGGTTATTTGCTTTTCAGGGACATGTACCTTTGTAAAGATTATGTTACCAAAATATTTTAAATATTCTGCCGTGTGCAAAATGACCAGCTAACTCCAAAAAACAATCAAAACAGCACTCAATGTTACTCCCTTCTTCCCTGAAGAAACTGTTGCACCGGAGCTTTAATAAAGTTTCACACCATCCTCATTTCATGCCCTGTAAACCTTGTTTTTCTCTGCTTTTTTTCTTTTTCCCCAGTATTGCCTGAGAAACTTTTTTAAAAGTAGCAAGTGAGAAAGGTCATGTCAGAAGACATGCATGTCTGGATATATATATATATATTTATATTTATATATATATATACACCTCCAGATCAATAAGTGAAATTATTTATGTTTGGTTATTTGGCCTATAGGCAGTAAATCACAGGCATTCTCTGGGCGTTACAATAGTTTCCAGTGCCACAAGACACGACGCAGTGTGACAGAATGGTGTTATGGTGCCCATTACTGATAAGCACCAATAATGTTCATCAATAACGTCACAACTACCAAGTCCCTGACAGTGCAAGGATTATTGTTTAATGCAGCAATAAAAATTTATATATTTTTTAAATGCAGGAAAAAATATTTCCTGAGTTCGGGCTTCCCAGATAGTATTAATCAAGACTTACAGCACTAGTGTTTCTCTTTCATTTTGTCAGCCATTTGAGAGTACAGGAATGGTACGAAGAGCTGATAGAAGAGATAATTTGTGCCAAACAGCTCCAAAATGAATGACTACAAAAAACTCATTGAGCTTTTCCACCCATGAAACTGAAGAGGCCTTTGGTAGGAACCCAGCATCAGCTCCTTACATCAGCCCAGGGTGTCACAGGAAACCTGAGCTGAGAACAAGGTAAGGAAATGGATGGACATTTCACTAGAAAATAGAACACCCGTTGACACAAAAATTGTCTTCTTGACATGAGTTTGAAAAGCGCTAAGGTTTGCTTCAGTTTCAGAGGTATGTAAGGTCCCTGCAACTTCAAGACAAAAAGTGGGTGTAGATTTAATTACATCAACATCCAGGGAGTGAAGCACTTTATAGAGCAGTTATACACCGACTTAGAAATCTAAGAGCACGTACCAAGGTTTTCTACTCAGTTTGAAGAGTGACAGATTTGCAGTATTCTGTGTGATCCCAGGAGAACTTCTCCGGAAACGCCGCTGTGCAATTATGTTTTCCCATTAACAAGTACCTTTTTGAGATTTGTTAATTAGCATGTCTTAATCTGTTTGATATGTACCTCATTGCCTTTCTACAGCTCTAATTTGCTAAACAAAATGTCATTCAGTGTTATGGAAAGACAATAATTCATTAAGTACAATGGCCCGGTTTATGTCTGCAGACGTTTTTATCAACCAAAGCAGCAACCATCTCCTTAAAAAATACTGTAAGGCTTATGATCTGTACAACTGCTTTTTAGGCACTGGATCCTAAGCGGCCTCTTTGTTGATTTATTTAGAACTGGTTAAAGTTACATGAATGATCTTTAAAAAAAAAAAAAAGAATTTTTTTTTTTTTTTTAAATTCTGACACAATATTTGGGTTTAATCCCTTTTCTGGAATGCCCTTATGATTCCAGAATTTATTGTCGGCATTAGTGGGATGAGAAACTTCAGCCCATTCCTTGAAGATCCTTGTGTAAAAATTGTTCAGGCTGCCTGGTTTTAAAATGTTTCTTTCTAATCAATATCCTACTTGTCCAAAAAGATTGCAAATAAATTTGTCAGTTGTTTATAACCAGAGCTCCCCGTTGATTGAAACATATTGTTCTACTTAAAAACCAGTGTCAGGGTATCGACTGCCGGCGCTAGATCCTGCGTGTCAGAGTTAAACGATTATTTTTCTTAAGTGAGGAGTTCTGACAGTCCATCTGGACAGAGCTCGGTGATACCTCATCGCTGCTTTATTACCTGACAATGTGATCAAAATAAGTGGATCTGGTTTTCAAACAAACACGATCCAGACAGTCGACCTTGCACTGTAGTGAAAGGATCGGCTTTTCAGCTCTACTTGGTCGGTTTTCTCTGCTGATACGGAAAGGTTTGAGGGCACTTCTTGATTGTGCAGGAGACTTTTTCAAACAGTTTCATGTACCATTTAGTGAGAGCTAACACTTAACATCTATGTGGTGGTTTGCCTCTCCAAAGTGCTGCTTTACTGCTTTTTTTAATGAAGTGCACT